CCCCCTCTATACAGAGCTTACATTCTCCCATGGGAGCATATAGATATATAAAAATAAATAACAGGTAATTCTGTGAGGAAAGCCATCAGTCATTGGTGAGGAAAGCATGGCGGAATGATATGAGGCAGAACAATGCCAAACCTATGGGGGCGGGGGTGCTGCAAAGAGACTAATACGGCCATAGCAGAGTTCCAAGGGGAAGTAGGACTGGAAACCTTGGTGGGGTCTCCCACCCCCTCTCCAATTCCCCCAGCCCGCACTGGGCATCTTGCTGCTCACCTTTTGGGCAAAAGGCCGAATGCCGATCTGCCGTGCTTCAGATTTCTCTATTCCATCCATCCGGGAAGGAGAGAAATGTCATTTGCACCTCGATGATTAATTTTGCAGCTCAGAGTGTATTGGCATATAGTTCAATGTAGTCACCCTTTGGATTCATCCTTCATTTTGGATTTTACATTTGAGGCTTCTGGTGATGACACAGTTTCTCGTGGTGAGAATCAGCCCCAGCTTAGAGGGTGTCATTCGCCTGCTGGGGGGCCGCCCCATTTCTTAGGGAGCCGAGTTGTGTCTGTGCCCCTCGGCCTGTCGTCTGCAGCCAGCCCACTTCACTGCTCCGTCCTCATCTTTCTCACTCGCCCAGCCTGTCCTTTAGACCCAAACTGGCCTCTTTCCCTGAGGAGGATGGGCCTTCCTTTGGGGGTCAGTTCCCCAGCGAGTCTGGAGAGCACATGCCTATGTGGGGGAGGGGCTGGGGCTACACACACTGACAGAATGAAGCCCTGCTGGGTGCCATTAATTATTAGAAAGTTTATTCTTCTATCACTTCTAAATTGGTCTCTTTGAAGCTTTCCCCTTGTTCCCAGTTCTGCCCTCTGGGGCCAAATAGGACAGGCTGACCCTTCTTTCCCATGATAGCCCTTCGTTGAAGGCAGCTCTTAACGCCTGCTCACCCTCAATCTTTTCTTCTCTGGGCCAGTAACCATCCTCAGGCCCTTTGATCAATCCTCAGGTCATACGTGAGGCTGTCAGTCACCTTGTTTACTCTTCTGGACACTCTTCCCTCCTTCCCTCATGTCCTTCTAGTCTGACCAGGGCAGAAGTACGTCTTCTTTCTCCCTCTTCTTGGATACTATGCCTGTCTTAATCTAGCCCGTAGTCTCATTAGCTACCACATCACACTTTAGTTTCTTTTTTTTTTTTCTTTTTAATTTATTATTTTTTTATTTAAATTTTTTTTATTTTTTCCGTATGCTTTTGAGTTGAAAATTTTTCTCCCCCCCACCCTCCCCAAGATGGCGCACAATCTGATATAGGCTTTACATTTACATACCCATTAAGCATATTTTCACATTAGTGAAGTTTTAAGTAAAAATTAAAACCAACAGGAGGAACCATCAGAAAGAGGAAACAAAACTCAACAGAAGGTAAAAATAAGTGATAGCGATTCAACTTCCATAGTTCTTTCTTTGAATGATCACACTTTAGTTTCACTGAGCTTGAAGGCCACTGAGACCTCCAGATCCTTTTCAGACCACTTGTTTAACCATGGATTATACTTGTGGGCTACATTTTTTTTTAACCCCAAAATGTTTCTGGGACAGTGAGAGTTCAGTTTAATGTGGATTCTTCTCCAGGAAAATCAGAGAACTCCAGGAGTCTGCAGTTTGTGAAATTGGATGAAGATAAAAGGACCCCACCCTTGCTTTGCCTATTTGACTCATTCTCTTTGGAAAGTCCATTTGCTTTAAACCGAAGGGGGTTATGTCTGTCAGGATGTGTTGGAGCGAGACCCTGGCTGCGCCAGTGCTTCCTGCCTTTGTTTTGCCATTCGGATGCCCAGGAGCAAGCTAGTTTGTCTGTGCCCTAAAAGAGTGGAAAGACACAGTCCTGTGGAAGCTTTGAGTGACATGTTCAGTGTGCGTTGGACAGTTCAGGATTCTGAGCTGGTCTTTTGTTGGCGATTTGTGCCGAGAGAGGTAGCTTCCTTTCCTGAGTTACAGGAGAGTGCCAGCAGCTTCCACACTCACCCTGGGACAATTGGGTTTTCAACTTCTCTTCCTTGCCTTGGGGCAGTAAGCTTCAGCTGCCTGCTGAGGGGGGGAGTCATTCTCAGCCTTTCCTGGAGGTCATTCTGAGGTGCCTCCACCTGCCTAAGCATTGTTATTTTAAGGTCCTGTTCCTTTGGCAGGATCCCCTGTGCCCTTTTCCCTTCAAATAACTAAGGAGATAAATGCCCTCATTTCATTGTCAACTGTAAAGCATTATTCAAGTGTCACTTATTAAAACTATTCTATCAAGCAAGACAATAGTTGTACTTTCTGCAGTATCTTGGATCTGGGCTTGTTTTTTATTCAAAGTCTGTTTGCTGGAGACATGGGTCATAATTGGATCCTGAATGGGGATTTGGAAGAGACCTCAGAAGGCATGTAATCTAATTCCGTCATTTTACAGAGGAGGAAACTGAGGCCCAGGGCAGTGAAGCAGCTTTGGATTGTAGGATCCCTTGTCTAAACCTGGAAGGGCCCACAGAATCACCTGGGGGCCAGTCGTCCCATCTTACAGGCCTGGGCAGGTTAGATGATTTGTTTACTTTAGGCATCAAAGGCAGATTTTGAACTTAGGTGCTTGGACTCCCTGGCCAGGGCCCCTTTGTGTCCCCATCACATGGAGTGGGGAAGGTAGTTGATTTTAATTGTAGATCTGCTATAGCAATATTTTTTGGTTCTGTACCAAGCAGTAAAAATCCTGAATGAAATTGATTTAGTCTATCAGCCAACTTGGAGGGAGGTTATTTTATGATGACAAATGACTGTTGTGAATGGGAGAGTTGAAGATTGTGTCTGTGTTGGTCTGAGGTTACTCAGCTCACCAGATTTTCCTTTCACTGGCTCACCTGGCTGTTCTGTGATACCAAACACCCAGCAGGTAACTCGGGATTCAGAGCAGAAAATATTAAGATGGGGCCTGAAGAGAGTGACCAGGAACATTGTTATTAGCCCTAGTGGCTGCATGTCTCAAAGACCATAGAACTGGGAGGCACCCGGAGCTAATCCAGTCTGCCCAAGAACCTGGTGGCTGAGCTGGGATTCGAACCCAGGTGCTTTGTCTCCAAAGTGAGTGTGTTCTTTAGACGACATCGTCTGCCTTTCCCCAGCCATGTAACAAAGAAGGAATTTCATGCTGATGGTGAGTCAGCCAAGGAGCCTGGGATACTTTACCTGGGCAGTGAATAACCAGGGGATGACAGCATTCTCAGAGCTTTAAAATAACATCACCAACCAAAGGCAGGTGTCCCATATAGTGTTCCAATGAGGGCTGCCCTTTTTATAACTCACGAAATTTCAAGGGAAAAAAAGTCTGGTTAACAAGGAAATGATGAAGAGCTTATAAAAATAACCGTGAAAGGAAATCTTGAACATGCATACATCAGCACATCCAGGGGATATGGATTCGAGTGCCCAAAGAAAGTAACTCTGCTTCCTCACGGTGACAAATGCCTCACATTATCATAACAGTCTGACCCTGGGTCAGCTAGGAATATAGAACTCGCCCCTAAAATGAAATGTCTTTGAGAGGAAAAATACGCAGGTGGGGAAGAAAAACCAGGTGATTGACCCCACTTAGGTTGGTATCCATGGGGAGGGGGGACACTGGGGCCAATGATAGTGAGGCGGGAGAGCATGGCGCCTGCAACATCTGCAGCTAGACCACTCGTGCAGCGATCAATGCAGCGCGACTGGCAAATCACACAGTGCTTTATAAACAGGCCTCTTGACAGTTTTATTAACAAACTACGAGATGTTATGGAGCAGCATTGGATTTTAGGCCTGGCAAGGACCTGAGAGATCATTCCACAGATAAGGGAACTGACCTAGAAGTGCGTCCGGTGCTTTTTTGCCTTGGCTTTCCTGCTACTGCCAACAAGGGATGGACTGGACAGTCCGTTAGAGTTTTTCCTTCCTCAGGATTTCTCTGTGAAGTGGTAGGATTTCATTGGGAAGGACAGGCAGCATAGCCTGGTGGTGAGAGTGCCTACTTTGCTGTCAGGAGGTCCCGGGTTCAGGTCTCCCCTCCAGTAAATCCTGGCTATGTGTGACCCTGGCCAAGGCCCTTACCTTTTTACCCCAGGGCAGTGGTGTCAGACTCACATAGAAGTGGTGGTCAGCTACATACCTATCCCTGTAGACTGCATATTGACTTAGAAAACCACACATATTTATATATTTCTTATTAATACAGCAACACATTAAAATTACGTAGAAACTGCGTTTTCATCTGGTTTGGGCAGCATTCAAGCAGGGGGTAGGCCACGTATTTGACACCTCAATCTGGGCAATTCTCTGAGAGTGTGAGTTGAGGGAAGATGCTCCTCTGCTGCGTCAGGGGAAGGAATTTTCTTCCTGGGAGTTACCTTTACCCACTGAAATCACAGGCATAGTTGAAAAATAAAAACATTGGGAGTCAGTGTTTGCAATTTGTAATTTTGGTGGGGGTATTTATAATGCTGTTTCAATTGGAAAGGTGAATAGATTTCATTTTAGAGAGTCTTCCATGAAAGGCATGACTCTTAGCTTCAATTTGGCATCATTACATGTAAAAAACAGAAATTCTCTAATATATAGTGATTATGTAATCATGAAAAAATATTTAAATCTCTGATCTTTGAGAATTGTGGAACTTAAATATAAATAAGTAAGTAATGAACATGGTCTTTCATTCATCTAGTGGAAAGGAAGGGAAGTGTAGGCCAAAGGCAGGGAGAGGTCCACTGAGGCAGCATGTTGTAGGGAGTCTCCAAAGCCTGGAGGCCCCCCAAAGAGGTGGTCCCTGTGCGAGCCCTTCGGGGCACAGCTGGCTTGAAGTGCTCTGGTAGCCTTGGGCACCTAGATGCAGCAGGTGGCACAGTGCCCAGAGAGCTGGACTTGGAGTCAGGGAGACCCAGGTTCAAAGCCAGCCTCAGATACATACTGGTTCTATGACCCTGGGCAAGTCACACTGTTAGCCTCTGGCTCCTTATCTGTAAAATGAGGATAATAATGGCGCCTACTGCGTCCCATGATTGTGGTCAGGATCAAATGAGGTCGTAGTTGTAGACATAGCACATAGTAGGAGCTGAGTAACTCTTGGTTCTTTCCTTCTTCATGACTGAAGTATCGAAGGGAAGGAAGCAGAGTGAACACTGGGGTGGGTCTTTGGGCCAGACTGGCCATCCCAGTTCTTCAGGTTACTGGGCAGATGCTTGAGGAAGCAGCCAGGTGAGGCCCGTGGTCACGGCCTGGGCATGTTCCTGGCAGTGTGCCTCGGCCTGCTGGCCGCCTTCCTTTGGAGACTCTGACTTTCTTTGGTGTCATCTCTGGCTCTGGTTATGCCGTCTGAAGGCCTGTGCCTGGGGGGAATAAAAGAAGTGCCCAGATCATTGACGTTAACCTCTCTGGACTCTACCTGTACCAGGAGGGTGGGGAGAACAGAGTTCTTAATCTGCAGACCACAAAACCTCGATTTATTTTTTGTCATTTTGTATTGATATTTTTAAAATGTCATCTTCATTTCCTAGTATCTAATTCCCCTTCCCCCACCCAAAGAGCCATTCCTTGGGGAAAAGAATAAAAAAAGAAAGAGAAGGGAAAAGGGTGGTCAAGCAAAAAACCAACCAACATGTCAGCCAGGTGAGATGCTATTCGATGCCTTGTTGCATACTCTAATCCCCCGCCTCTGTAAAGGGAAGATGGTGCATCTCCATCTGGCTTCTTGGTCATTATGATTACATAGGCCAGAACCTGGATACTTCAGAGCCATGATAGGTGCTCTGGCTCTACTTTTGGGTTATCAGTTTGGCAGCTATGTGGAGGGAAGACGGAAGAGGGGAGAGGGACTGGAGGCAGGGAGACCAGCTAGGAGGCTGGAGGTGAGGATGCCCTGAAGGAGGGTGACAGCTCCATGAGTGGAGAGGAGGAGACCAGAAAAAGCTTACAGGTCGAGTGGGCAGTGTCTGGACCCTGCATAGGAAGAGGAGTGGAGAATGACCCCTGAGCGACTTGACACGGGGTGGGGGGGGCGGTCCTAGGGAGAAAGGGGGGGTGGGTTTTAAGGGAGGACAGTGAGGTCCTGGTGGAGGCGTCCAACAGGCTCTTGTTGATGTAGGACTGGAGCTCACCACAAAGCATTGGAGCAGATGTCATCGCAGGAACTTGCACGTAGTAGGCACTTCACAAATCCTTATGCTTTGAATTTTTAAAAGTCGGCAAGAACGCATTCAAGTCCCCACTTTATTGAGTAGGGAAGAACAGAGCAGATGGGACTAAAATGACCTCCTTTGCTTGGTCTTAAATGTGTGTTAATGCAGGCAACTTACTTACTAGCATGAGCTGCGCTCTAAGAGGTGAAGCAGTAGCCGGTCATCGTCCATCGAAGTGCATTCCAGCAGGGAAAAGCTCTTAATTCGTTACCCAGCACGCATGATGCTTCCGTTCTCATAATGTCTGTGCCAGGGAAGCCAGGTCAGGCATTGGCCACATCTGACAAAGAGGGAAAATAAAGGACTTTAAATCAGAAATCATGGGCTGAGCAGGACTGATACTCGCGTCATCGGGCTTAGGGAGGGAGCACCTTTTCCTCTGCATTGCTTTCTGCAAATGCTGCTGTGAGCTGCCTTCTTCTGCCAGTCCTCAGAATTGTTTGGGAAGGAGCTCAGTGTTTTCTGATGGAACAGAATTCCCCCCCTCGCCTGTGGCAGGCTCGTTGATTCTTAGCTAGTGGACATTGCTTGAGGGTCCCTGATCCCTCCGGGGAATTTTCATTATTCTGAATAAACACAAACTGTGGCTGGTGAAAGATGAAGTGATGGAGGAAACAAAGATTCGGGCTTCCAGGCGTATCTATTTATTGAGCATTGCATGCCAATTGCCCACCAAATTGGTCCTAGACCCCCTCAGCTTTGGCACTGGACCCTGAATCCAGGGGGAGACAGACTTTTACATGTTAATATATATAGTATATAATAATAATATAATTGTATATAATATATATTATATTTTATATATTAAAAGCAATCAAATAAGGCCAATTAATTAAAAGGAAACAGTACAACATTAGGTCATCTGATTTCTGACTGGATAAAATATTAGGGACTCTCCAGATTGGGAGGGGCGGAGCAAACAGGTGCAATTTCCTCAATTCAGAAAAAGGGGTGCCCTACTCTCCCTGGGTGTCTGTAAGCAAGCAAAGGAACATGGACGCATTAGCTGATCAGTAGGGGGCCAGTTTTCAGATAAGGCATACGGGTCACTGGGGATGTACAATTGTGAGGAAAGTCCTCTCCTCAGTCTTTGGATCTGACGAGGTTTCTGGTCACAACCGGGGTCCTAGGTTAAGGGTCTCTAAGCAGCAGGTAGAAGCGATCCAGCTTCCCAGCCACTCAGGGTCAGGGTCAGACAATGCAACAAAGTCCTCTCACAACCTCATACTGGAATAAGGTTTTCTCACGAGACAGAAATTGGACCAGACCGGAACTGAATAGGAAGGGAAGTGAGCTAGCTCCAGGATGGAGTCACAAGACGGCTCTTCTGTGACTGTGACTTTTGTGGATCCTCACAAATCGGTCACTCCTGTTTAAAAGAACTTCACAAAATAGAATTTTGAGAGGCAGCCTGATGTCTTTCCTCGGTGCCAGTAAGACCCGGGTTCAAGTTCTGTCTCCAGAACCCAGGCTGGCCGTGGGAAGCTGAGTGAGTCTTGAGCAGACAGCTCTTGAAGATGCGTGGGGGCCCATCTGCTCTGCTAGAGAGTTTCCTCACCTAAGAGTTCTTCTTGAAACGAGATCACAGGCCTGGTGTCATCTCAAAGGCCCCACCCCCAGTAGACTTTTATGAATGATTCTCCTCGGTTCTGGTTTACGCAGAACTTGCAGCATCCTTCCAACACTTGCTGGTTGATGTCAGCAGCTCTTTGGTGGAGCATGGCCTCCAGAAGCAGCCAGATGGTGTCTTAGTCCGTTGGGTACGTTTTCATTCTGCCCAGAGTTAAATCATTGATGACTCATTGGAAAAGGCCCTGTTGGAGGCGTGGAGTGCCTCCTCCTTCCCAGCCCTCCTCTTTTTGTTCCGGATTCACAACCCCAGAGGAAAAAGCCCAGCTGCAGGTTTTATGTTTTGGTTGTCTTGAAAGTCCGCAAGCAAGCATGTATTAGACACTTCCTAAGTGCTGGAACGCATTCTGGGTGGCGACTCAGACAGGCCCAACCCAGGGATCCCAATCCCGTTCCCTTCTCAGAGAGGAGCTGTCGCTTTCTAGGGGCCTCCTCCCAGCCTGACGCTGTCCACAGAGAGAGGCTTTGGAGTGGCTACCTCGGGAGAGGAGCCTGGCCATGGCTTTGCCAGTTTTGGAATTTCCCCTCACTTGGCCCTTTCGAAGCCTGCAGAGATGCTCTTAATACTTACCTCCTTAGGCATATACCAGGAGAAAACAGGATGGGCAACCATTGTTGAAGCCAGTCTTTAATGCATGATGAGAAGCGTGTTGTGCAGGGGAATGCTCCCGGCCAGCAGCTTCCAAGGTCTTGGGTCTGTCGAGCTCCTTGTGGAAACTTCATCTCCCCTGCGGCTCTTTTGAGAGGCTCTTTTTCTTTGGACCCGGCCTCTCATTTCCTTGGTCTTTTTAGGCACATCCAGTGAGCACGCTCCCTCTCCCAAAGCGGGTCAGCACGACTTAGGCTTGAGAGTTGTCTGTGGTCATTGAGAGGGCAGAAACTTACCCAGGGTCCCACAGCCAGCGTGTGTCAGAGGGGGCACCTTGAACCCTGGTCTTCCTGACTCTGAGGCTGGCCCTCTTTCCAGCCCTTTTCTCTTTTGATCAGTTGAAGGAGCCTCAATAGCTTGGCACCTTTGCCTTTATAGGTTTTACTTTTTTGGTGAAAAACTCCCCAGTGATGGTCACCTGCCCCTTTGCCAGCCCCCTCTGGCCTCGGGGAGTTTCCTGGGGGCACATGCAGGCCGTCACTCAGGAAGGCCTTGGCCTGGCTGGCTCTGTGGACTCTGCCACACCACTGCCTTCTTTCCAGAAAGTGCAGGAGCACAAACAGTGAGGCTCCCTCTGCCTGCATCACATCCTGACCTATGTAAATACCTAGCCCCTTGGCTCCAGCTCCCCATCCTTGTCATCCTCCCCTCACTTATCCTGCAGATCAGGAGAGTTTTTAACAAAGATAGGGAATAAGGTGAGAAGAAATTCCAAGGCTTCACTGGAGATGATTAGAGATAAGTGGATCTATATTTGCCATATATGGTAATAAATGAAAAGTCTGCACCGATCCCCTCGACATTTATGGACTTCTCTGATTCATCTGTCAGAGCCAGCAGCCCCAGCCAAGAGATAGGGAATTTGTTAAACTTTCTCATTCCTAAATGGCTGCCACAAAAGGAGGAATTTTGTGTGCTCACATGAAGCCAGATCTGAGGGAAAGGTTAGGGCTGGCAAGCGTCTGGATGAAGGTCGCTAGTGGAAGTCCAGAAGTATGTGACCAGAGCTGTTTGTTTATGCTAACGTCACTAGCGTTGACCAGTTCTCTGGATGCGAATCACTTCCTGTAGACCTGAGTGGGCAGGACTGGGAACAGCTCTGGTTCTGCAGGGGGAGCCTGCTTCCTGGAAGACCTTGGGTGAGTTACTGAGCCTTGCTGGCTGGGCCTCAGTTTCCTCCTCTGTAAAACGAGGAGGTTGAACTCCATGTCCTCTGGATGTGGGATCCTATGACTCCTGTATATAACCTGAAAAATATCTCGTGTCATTTGTCCCTTCTTTCTCTGCTAAGAACAGAGGCTCGAGCCGCCGATTCTTTTCTATGGAAGTGTTTCCTTTAAAGCCATTGTTAGGTGTAATCTCTGGCTGTGTTTTCGGGGACAGGCCAGAAAGCGGGCAGACACACAGCGTTCCCTTTCCCGACTTTTCAGTCCAGTGGTTTCTTTTCTTGTGCTGTCTGTGGTTCATGCGATGCATTGCACCAGCTCCCAGTTCAGTCTTCTGAATTTGGGAATTAGTCCCAGAAGAGGCCATATATTATGGTGCTGACAGTGAGCTGCTCTTCGAAACGCTCTTAGAAGCCGCATTGATGGCATCCAAAAAGCCAGCAGTAGAAGTACAAGGACGAGCCAGATTGCTAGGAATCACCGATTTGGAGGGCTTTGGTTTCCCCCTTGTCCTCCTCCCCTGTGTATCCGCAAGCTGTTTGTGCCTGGAGCTACAGTGTCTTACCCAGTGTGTGACTTAGGAACCAGGTAAACACAATCAAAGCCCTTTGGTGACACATTTTATTTTACTGAATTAAAAGGATCTTTAGGTTAAGCTGATTGTATCAGCTTAATAGATATCCTGCCCGCTCTGAGTCTTCCTGTTCCTTCCTCCCTCCTCCTCTCTCACTTGCCTTCTCTTCCTCCCTTCTTTCCTCTCTCCTTCCCTCTTCCCTTTCTTCTCTTTTTCTTCTTCCTTTTCTCCTTTTCTTCTTCCTTTCTTCCCTTTCTCCCTCCTTTCCTTCTTCCATCCTACCTGTCCTTCTCTTCCATCTCTCCCTCCCTCTTTTCTTTCCCCCACTCCCCTTCTTTTCTTTTCTTCCTTTTTTCACTTTCTTCCTCCTTTCTTTCCTCCTGTCCTCCCTCTCTTCCTTCTCTCCTTCATTCTTTCCCTCTCTCTTCCTCTCTTCTTCTTTTTTCCTTCCCCTCCTTCCTGTCAGCCTTTTCTTTCCCTCCCTTTTTTTCTTCTTACTCCCCATCTCCTTCCCTTCTTTCTTCCTCCCTCCCTCCCCCAACTTACTGTCTCTCACCTTGTGGTCCCCTTTAAACATAGAACTTGCTGAGTCCTAGTAGCTGGAACTAACACAAAGATGTTTTTTCTTCAGATTTCTTTGTAGCTAAGTTAAATCAAATCCCTGTTCCTAGCCACCATGTAACCGCCTGCCTTTGGTGATACTGAGGGTTGTGACAGCTCTGAAAATACTTCACCCATTTGTTCCCCCTGGGAAAATTTGCTCCGCTCAGCCTGTTGGAGGTTGCTCAGGGGAGTGGAAGCAGCCTGGGCCTTGAAGTCAGGAGGCCTGAATGGGAGTACTAGCTTTGCCGCCTGGACTTTCAGAGCTTTGTTTTCCCATCTGGAATGTGGGGCAAACTGCCTTGCAGGATTGGCGTGAAAAGAAGCTGCCTGAATATGAGCTTTTTACCATCCTCCTCCTCACTGCCACTGAAATACTTCATGGCAATAGCCTAGATCTCCCTTTAATGCGGGTGAAGAGTGAGACTGCCCAGTTTGGGCCTAGCAAACTTTCTTGGAGTTGGTTTTCATGCTTAGAGTACTGTACCATCAGTCAGTCCACAATCAGAGGTGTGCCATGGGGACGAACTCCCTGGCTCTGGAGTTCAGGGACCTCTGACTGTGGGTTCAGAGTCTGCCTCTGAATACAAACAGTAGGCACTTAATAAATGCTGGGTGCTTGACCAATCAGTGCAGGGCCTGGAGGCGCACCCAGAAGAGTGTATGGCTGGTCAATACAAGGTCATTAGGGGAGGGGGGGAGGGACCGCCTTGGTGCTGGCTGAGGTGAGGAGGCCAGGGCAGGGCAGGGTATTCCAAACAGGCCTGGAAACCACCCTGCACGCAGCCACCCTGTGTGTACCTTGTCGAAACTGCTTAACCAGAGCATCTCTGCAATCAATGAGTTTGAATGAATCCTGTGGAGCGTTTTTCTCATCAGCGTCTACGAAGCTCTTATTTTATTTTTTATATGACTTTACCGCCATCTCACTCTTCGTAAGCATTCCCCAGGACAGCCGTGTTGAGAGAAACCAACGTTGCAGAGCCATAGGCCAGTCACTGAGGGCCGTGGCTCCTGGAAAGGCATTCCAGGGACTGTCTGCACCGCCGGGGCGCCCCTCTTCATCCCTGGCACTTTCCCAACCAGAGCGGCTTCCCTGCTCCCTCCTCCTCTCTCAGTGTTGTTGGCCAGCCCGGAAGCTTCTTGAGGCCAGACTCTGGCTGGGATTTTGAGTTGAATCCCCAGAGCCTGGGCCTGTGTTTGGCTCTTTGAAAGAGAACTTGAAAATGCTTCTTCATTTATTCATTTACTGTGAACCCACACAGAGCAGTTATGCAAGTCAGAGAATTTTGGAGGTGATGAGAATGACCGCTTTTATCCTCTTGTGCTTGTTTAGCAAAAGGGAAGAGGCTAGCGTTCCCCTAACCCTCGAGCAGACCTGGTGCTAGGGCAGGGTGCAGAGGAGCAGACGCCGCTCGCTGGGAGGACAGTGGTCCTGGCCGCTAGAGACCGGGGAGCAGAATGTCTGTAGGCTACGTGGGGGACCTCGCCCCGCCAAAGTTCTTCTCTCACAACCACGTCGTAAGCTATACGTGGTACAAGTATTATTAACCCCATTTTACAGGTGACTGAAATGAGGCCCAGAGAGATTAATTGGCTTGTGTGAGGCGTTAGAGCTAGGATTCCAAGCCAGGTTCTTCTCACTGCAGGCCAGTGGTTTTTCCAGCAGGCCACTGCTGTCTTGGGGGTGTTTAGATAAATGTAAACAGTGAAGAATATGGCCCAGCGTCTGTACCAGCAGAAGACAGACTGCTAACTCATCGATACCTAACTCTTGCAACTACAGAGTTCTGCTCCCTTGAGGAAAGTGTCTGCACACACATACACGTGGATACGCCCATATATAGACACGATCACATACAGAGACATGCATACATACACATTCATATAGCCATCTATATGGACACACACATATGAGAACCAGTTTGAATGTCAAGTTGATTTCAAGGTTGTGAATTGTGTGTGTGTATACACACAGAAATACACACTCATACACGTGCGTGTGTATACAATGTACATATATACATATACACACACATATATGGAGACCAGTGTGAATGTCAAGTTGATTTTAGAGTTGTGAATTTTACGCACACATACTACGTGCACACTTTTGAAGTCACACTTGTTCTCCCTGGTCAGGAGATGCTCCCCTAGGCTCTGCTTCCATAGCCATCAGATCCGTCAGGATCAGTTTTACATAGTATTGGGAGCTAACATATGCTTCTTTTTGTGGCCAGGAAACGGGGATGGCTTTTTTTTTCCAGCCAAACTCTTTGTATGTTTACTTTAGAAAGCTCCTGTTTCTTGTTTTTGTCATTTCTTCTCTATTTTTGCTTTACAGGGATCACGTGGCCACACGTTAGTGGCTAGGAGGGTCACCTGACAGGAGTCAGCGTGGATTTGCGTGTGTGTGAGGGGGGAGGGGGACAGGACTGTTTTTTATTATGAATTAGGGCATCTGACATAAGCATTTCACAGTACCGAGAGCAAAAAAGGGGTTTGTGTCTGAAATGGTGAGCTTTTGCTATATATAGGGAATTTTTAAGTGCATATTAAACTTGACGTTTGTGTCCCCTTCTGAAGTTTTGTTTCTTCTCTGTGTTTTTATTGTGTATCAACACTCTATTTTTTCTTGTCTCGTCTGTATCTCGGTAGGTGTTCACTAACTCTGTCCACCACCTCCACTCTGTGATTACTGGGGGAACAGACAGGCCCATGAGGATGACCGGGATTGCATGGCATTTGCCTGCCCAGGGGCAGTGCCAGGCCTGGGAAGGTGTAAAAGGTCCAGGAGTTAGACTGGAGCAGCTCTGGCACGCAGCCCATTCTCTGAATGTCGGGCTATAGGCTGAGACTCAAGCCCTGGAGCCTCTCCTTAGACGGGGTCCTCCAAGTGGGCCTCATTTCCGGGCCTCTGTCTGGCCACCAGATCTGGGAGCCCAGATAAGGTCCAACAGGAAGCGGCCGCCAGAAGCCAGGAGCCTGCCCGTGTCTTCTAGTGTTCCTAAGGGCTCCTTCTGGCCCCCCGCTCAGTGGCTGCTTGTGTTCAGCCCAGGGCAGCTCACTGGCAGTATTGTGAGCTGATATTTCCTCTGCTGCTGCCTTGCCAACCCTGCTTCTTGACCACTTGTGGCTTTCACTCACAAGGGCACGAGGTAGTGAACCAGGACCATCGGAGCTGGGGCTCAGGTGCCTTCTCCCCAGGGGTGGTGACAGGGTCTTTGTGTTCATTTTTTGTATTTTCCTAGAACCTTTTCCAGGACAGGAGGAACACGTTCTTATGGGTCACTAACTTGGTACAAAGAGAAAGGGTTATAGACACCCCCTTCAATGTCAGTAGGGGAAGTAACAGTTCAGATCGTGCTACCCTATATCCAAGTCTCCCGGGCTAGAACCTTTGGAGGCATCTTTGATTTTTCCCTCTCCTTCACTTACTGCATCCAAACCGTCACCAGGTCCCTCCAGTTCTGCCTTTGAAGTCTTTCTCCAGTTGGCATCTGCTTCCTCAGTCCAAGTTCCCTCTGTTCTAGTCTGGCCTTCTGTCACCTTGATGCCAGGATTACTGTAGCAGCTTCCTAACCGATCTTTCAACCACCAGTCCCAAACCCAGGATATCCCGAGTGTATCCCTGCCAGGCTAAGCTTCCTATGTCCCCCCTCTCCCACTGCCCTTTGCCTCCAGAATGGTGCATGGGTGGTGATTTTAGAGTTGCTTTCAGAAGACCTTGGCTAGAATTTCCAAAGCCTCCCAAGCGCTGCCATTTGCTGGGCCTGGGAGCAAGAAGAAGTCACCTAATTTCTGAGCCTCAGTTCCCCTCGGCTGTTA